CGACCTGCAACACCAGCTCACAGTTTAATCTCAACAAAATGGCTGTGTTCTAGGAGGGACTGCAAGCTGCTTAGCACTTTCAAATGTGTATTTGATTATCATTTTTCTCTAGTTACATTTGACATTCTGCCTTTGTTTTAGTTTACCTTACTCTGAGTCATTATTATAATAATTATATTGTGACACATGTGTCCATTACCTTGTTGTGCATAGGCCTTCCGCTGCTGTTCGTCTTCAGTGGACTCATATATATCACAGTAGGCCCGAGCCAGTCGCCACAGAAACTCCCTGCTGTCTCCATACTGCAGACAGAATAAGAAAAACACCAATCAGCGTTCAGGATAATTCATTACTAACAGTAAGTACATGTTACAGGTTAAATCATTACTTAAGGACATGTTAAATATATAATTACTTTTCCTACCCACTGTTGGTCTTGAAACTCATGCTGAAACTTAGTGTTCTTCAACCATGAGAACTTAAAGTCCAGCTAAAGTAGAAATAAATATAGGGGTTTTATATACTATAGGAACCTACTGAAACATGTCATGCTGAGTAACGCATGTGACAGGCTCTGCGTTTTTTTCCACTACGGTGCGCCCGCTTTGGAGGTGCATTCCAGGAGCTAAATTTCAGCACCCCTCAGGAGGTAGTACTAAAAGCACCAGGATTGCGAGGGGGGAGGGGGTGCATGCGCAGAGCATGCAGTTAAATGTCCATGCCTTTGCACCTCAAGCATTAGCATTACACACAGCTGTGTGTGTGAGACGGGAGGAGCCCCTCCCTCATCTAAACAGAGAGAAAATACGGTGCAAAAACGAAGGAGGATGGTCCACGTCAACCTGGAGACTATGCTTAGTGATGATTAAGGAAAGTACGGGGTATACCACTCATTAGGTTCCAATAGTGAAACCTAACTAACCTAAATCGTGTTCCAAGTTTGTCACACCACAAAAAATGTGTTAACCCAGCCAAATTTGAATGAATAAAAAGATCAAGTGTATAAAAATAGCTGTCAAATTCATGAAAACATAGAGTATTCTCTGCTCTGAAACCCTGGGGGTGTGGCAGATGAAGACACAGAAACCACACCCAATCACAGAAATGTGCCACCTGTTCTCAGCGCGGGAAATATGTATTTTCATGGTGAAGGCATAGCTAGATAGCTAAGAAAATGTAGGCTGTAGTAGGTGTAATAAATCAGGATCAAACAGGAGAACTGGTGCTATTGCATTTTATCAAAGACCACTGAGTGAGAGTAGTGGGTCATAAAATATGGTTTTGGTGTTTATGGAGCCGCGTCTCCTTTGTGGGCGAGACTGGGTGGTGTGCTCAGCTCCCCCACACACACACACACACACACACACACACACACACACACACACACACACACAGGAAGCAGACAATTGTTTACAACGCTAAAGTTTACCACCTCTGAAACAGAGGGGACTGTGGATGAAATTCAAGTTGCTCTTCAAAACTCACTTTTATTGTAAAGCTTTGTTATAATTATACTTTAATCTAAATGATGGCACCGATGACTACTGCTGAAGGTAAGGAAGGCGTTTTAATATCTAACCACCTAAACTGAAATTGTCATAAATGTATGAATTCAATGACAATTTCACCAAAAACTGAAACATTTTAAGCTTCATAAACACAGATTTTAAGACAGACGTGTTGCATTGAAATGCATACAATTGTAGAGGTGTGCCTAATAAGGTATCTATTGAAGAGAGGGATGAGGGATGGGGTCCTGCCTGGTATGGTAGACACCAGCCTCTATTGATCTTGTACTTAGTGCTTAGTGTGTAAATATATAGCGCGCTATATGTATGTGCATATGGTCTTATACCTGTATAGCACCTTTCTATGCTTTACAGCACACTCAGCGCTTTCACACTATTTGGCCATTCAACCATTCGCACTCCCAAACACTCACACATTCACATACCGGTGTTATCACCGGGAGCAGCTGGGGGTTCAGTGTCTTGCTCAAGGACACTTTGACATGTTGACTGGACAAGCCGGGAATCAAACCGCTGATCCTCCGGTTAGGAAACGACCCGCTCTACCTCCTGAGCCACAGTGTAATCTGCAGAACTGTATCACTCACTGTTTTTTTTTGTTTTGTTTTGCTTTTTTGCCTCACAGCCCATGCCAGGCTCATGTACAGAGAGACTGTGACTATAGAGGATGCTGTCATGGCTGTCTCTGTCATGGAGTGCTCCATGCAGGTAAATAGTGTATGACTTGGCCAGTATAAATACATGTTCTTTTTCTTGCTGAGGTTCTGTGTTGAGTTTGCAGTGTGTTTTGGATCATTGTCTAGTTGCATAATGAAGCTTCTCCCAAGTATTTTTAATGCATTTCTCTGTAAAGTAGCAGAAAAAAAGTTTAGGATTCTTCACCACTGTGAGTGCTGGAAAGGCTGTGACCTCTATGCAGCCAAAGTGCGCAACTGCACTGTTGAGCACAATCCCTGGGTTAGTGACAGCTGCCCATACATTGTCAATGGAAACAGGTACTGTCACTCAGTACACTTTGCTGTGTGAGACAGTGACTGAAGGAGTCCAGTGAGGTCCAGAGCTGCGGAAAGCTCTACTCTATGTAGCGACAGCTGGGCTCATTGCCAGTTAGGATTATTTTGATCCCAGACAGTGATGGTAGAGATTTTGGGAGGCGAAAAAAATTAATGTCGCTTTTCGCGTCGCGAAATTACGTCGGCGGTGTGCAATGTATCATTGACAAGTTATTGGTTCGAAAAATATTATTGACGCGCGAATAAATCACGCGTTAAATTCGCGTCTGGTGTGAAAGGGCCTTTATACTGAAAATTCCATAAACATGCTACCGCGATTAACATCATAACGTTTTATGTTCATTATAGACTAAAGAAACATCTAACCATGTTAACACAACCATATGTAGTACATGTTACGTTTAACCTTTATACTTACAGACATATGTTCTTGAGGGACTGTTAAAAGATCAGAAAGAAATCGTCTGCTTGCAGTTGAACTAACTTCTAGAACTTCCCGTTTACAAGCCAACTACGGAAACCCAAATAAGACACCATAGAAAAAACTCAATCCCTTATTATG